AAGTCTGTGCTTGATTATAGCTCAATGTTTAGATTCACGCGAAAGGGCGGAAGTCATAAATAAGAATTCAGAGCATTCGACAGCGAATAGTGGGCGCCGTCAGTCTGCGTATGCAGTCCAGAAAATAAACACTCGTCATTTCAGCGATGGAAAGAGCAATAAATTAGAAACGAAAAGCTTCTTCTCGCTTCTGATTTAGTGTCCACGGGTATTAAAGAAAAATTGATTAAGGCATGCGTTTTTTTGCGGAGATTTTTCCCATTCAAGCCATAAATGTCCTATTGCCCAGAAACTAACGAATGACGAAAAGGTTGAAATACTACGCAAAATGGCACTTGTTTTAGGTGTTTACAAAATAAGGGTCACATCAGCAAATTTTGCAGATTCTAACATTTTAACATTGCTCCCATTGTCACTCTAATTCAGCATTCTACGATTATGTGTAACAGAATTAATTCCGAGAGTAAAAAGGGAACGATCAAAAACTGTCCAGGAAGTTGAAAATAAAGTACTTTCGAATCAAAGCAACCGTTCTGAAGTTTATTTACAAACTTTGGTCGTAGGGGTAGCTGGGAAAACCTTAAAGGGTTATTTAAGACTGCTAATAGATATCCGGAAGTCAGAACACGTACATAAGTCAATATGCTGCTAAAACGTTGAAATTAGAAAAGATAGGAAACTGAACGAATTAAACATGGGTTATTTGGAGGTTAGGAAGTTTCGGAAGATCATAATCGTTATCAAATAGATTTAACTAGTTTGGATGGAAAGTACAGATGTAAAATCGAAGCACTAGACCAGAGGAAAAATTTGTTCGTCACTACCTAAGATCAAAGACGAAAAGTTGATTAAAGAGTAATTGGAAAAAAGGGGAATCCTTATCAACGACAATCATGAGAATGGAAATCTCCTGTCTTGTTTCAAGAAAATCCCGAAGAGATTCATATGCTGTTAGGAGCGGACACAACAGCACAATTGTTCACTGAAAGAATTGAACATTTGCGGGGGGATTACGTAGCCTTTGAGACCAAAGTTAGGCTGGACTTTAATGGGTAAGATTAAAGAGAATGCGAATACGTCGAGTTCCCTGTCCGTTCTTTCTTTATCTTTACATGTTTCAGATACAAATTTATCCAATCTTTGGCGTTTAGACACCTTGGGGATTTCAAGTGAGGGAAAACAAAATGAAAAGTGTCTTGGAAGAAGAAACCCGAAAACATTTCTTAAAAAGTGTAAAACGAAGATAGCTCAGGGAAGATATGAAGTAACCCTTACCCTTTATTTTAGATAAATCCGTCTTATCCAGTAACCGTGCGCTATGGCAGAAAGACACCTCGTTCAAAACCGAAAGTAAATTAATTAACACACGCAGAAGAAAAGATTACGACAGAAATATTTGATGAGTGGGAAGTGAAGGACATTATTGAGGTAGTAACTGAGGAAGGAGGAAGGAGTGCACTACTTGTCACACAGACCTGTAATAAAGAAGTCTAGTGAAACTACAAAGAATACGGCCTGTTTTCAATGCATCTGCACGTTCTAAGAATTCACCCTCTCTCAAGGATTGTTTGAGTAAAGGACCAAATTTAATAGAAATTATTCCACGTATATTGATCGTTTTCGAAAATATCGCATAGGAGTGTCATCGGATATCGAAAAGGCCTTTTGTCAAATCAAAATAGCAGAAAAGGATAGAGATTTTTTAAGGTTTCTATGGTTCGATAATCAACATAAGTTAAAATTTACAGACATAACCGAGTTGTTTTTGGACTCACATCAGTCCGTTTTTGCTAGCCGCTTACACTTAGTCACCTTTTGACTACACTCCCCAGAAAAAGTTTGTAGAAACTTCTAATATTTTGAAGGATTTATTTAACCTCGATAATTCGTTAATAGCTTAAATCACGTAGATGAAGCTGAAATTTCGTTCAAGAAGCAAGATTGATTTTGGCTTCAGGCATTTCAATTTAAGGTTGGCGATCAAATTTTCGAATTGACATGATTCGATGAGATAGAGGAGCAAGACGAAATGTCCCAGTATTAGGATTAGTATGGGATTTAGAAAAAGATAGTTTGAGTTGCAAGATCGAAGAAACATTTAACTTGAGGGAACCTATTACGAAAAGAAAAGTTTTGTCAATTACCCAGAAAATTTTTGATCCCCTTGGACTGCATCAATAACTGTAATTCCGAAACTAATTTTGCAAAAAACTTGGAACCAGAAGATTAAGTGGGATGAAGATCTTCCTCTTCCCCCTAAGTGAGCAGTTTGGGAGTTGGTTGAACCAATTGCCTCTGTTATCTCAGACTGAAATTCCTCGTTGGTTAAATATTGATTATGAAAACGAAGATACCGTAATGCTCCACGTTTATTCGGATGCTAGTAAAAGAGCCTATGCCACATGGGCATTTTTAAGAGCTGAAACCATTGAAGGTGTAAAGGTTCAGTTAGTAAGCACGAGAAGTCGAATAGCCCCAATTAAAGAACTTAAGATTCCACGTCTTGAACTTCTCTCCTGTCTGATAGGTGCCAGGCTTGCCAAAACAGTTCTATCAGATTTGAAGCTTAACAATTGTAGAACAGTGTTCTGGAGTGATCTTCTACAGCTTTGGGGGATAGAAGGGATCAAGCATGGGGTACGTTTGTTCATATCGAGTACAAGAAATAAGATCTTACCAGAATATCTGACTGGAGGCATACCTGGAGTTTTAACCCGCGGATCCATCGAGAGGGTACTATGAGCATTACAGAAATCGGCATGGTGGGAGGGGCCCATCGTGGCTTTACTTACAGAGACGATGGCCCCATGTAGAAGAAAGCCTGATGAGGAACTTATAAAAAGAAAAAAGGAAAAACGATTCTGACTTTTCTAGATCATGAGACAATTTGGACGGTACTACAAATACTTTCTCTTCATATAGAAAAACCGTGAGATGTCGCTGGATTTTCAGGTTTTATCACAATTTAAAGAACAAAGATAAAACCTCACTCCTGATTCTCAGTTTGATGAATTGGAGAATGCTGAAAAGGCACTTTGTAGATTGGTACAGAAGAATCATTTACAGGCATAAACGTCCCCGCTATTCGTGCGCTGAGACCAATCGTAGACCAAAATGGATTTTAAGAGCCAAAACGAACGTCCTACAGCGTCAAGATAATGAAAATTTCCGATATCCTATCATTTACCTTCAAAACATATTCTGTTGAGAGACTAATTTACGAGAAACATCTAGAACTCCGCATGCTGGCGTCAGCACTTTAATGACAAATATTAGAGAAAAACTTTTGGATATTAAAATCCAGGAAAAGTATTCGAAATATTATCAAAATGTGTAAGATGGAAAAGATTTGTTTCACAAAGAGTGGAAGTCGAGCCAGGATTTCCCACCCGAAGATCGAGTCAGAGAAGGGGCGACTTTTGAAGTCTTCGGTGTAGATCTAGCGGGTCCTCTCTATCTCCGTGAGGGGTCAAAGAGTGGAGAGTCTTGTATACAGTGCCTTTATAGAAACCATTCACCTCGAACGAGTTACTTCTCTATCTACAGAACTTTATCCAATCTTTACGTAGATTCATTGCCAGAAGAGGTAGACCTTATGTGATATATTCCGACAATGGAACTAATTTTGTAGGACTAACAGTGTTTTTAAGAAGTTAATTGGAACGCCTATGTTCAGCTGCTTCTATCCAAAGGATACGATGGAAGTTCAACCCTCCGACCGCCGCTGGTGGGGAGGTTGGTGGAGAGGTTGTGCGAATGGTGAAAGAAAATTTAAGACGAGTATTAGGTCGAACGTCCTAATATGAAGAATTATATACTATATATGTGACTGTGAACAATGATTAATTCGCGACCTATCACATACGTTATCAGAGGAATAATCAAGATCCATCAGCTTAGCGGAATGTGTGGAAATATTTAAATAACCTACTGATATTATTAATAGTTATTTGTATTTGAATTTACTTTTAAAAGTACATAATTGTTTACAAGAAAAAGGTGTTTACATGGAGATAGCTATGCACTTTTCGTCTTTCTGTTAGAAAGAGTCTATTGTGTAAATTTCCATAGCGCATTAATTTATACTATAAGGAATATTAAAAAAATAAACCAAATGAAAAAACATTCAGTAAACATTTAAAGGCGTCGATACCTATTTTTTTTACCTAAATTATGAGTAAGGAGCTAAAATTATATTTATTCCATTATGCGCTATTTCTATTGAAACGCTTTTCGGGATCGTTAGATCGTAAATTGCTACTGGTACTTACTACAAAGAGTACCCAGTAAATAAAAATAAGAAATTAACCTTAACAAAAATAGAGAAAATAAAGGCGTTTAATTTTAACAACGCACTCGAAGCGAAAAGACAAATATGACAAAGTCTTCAATAAAGTTAAAATAAAAATAAAATCGGCGAGCAGAGTTTGAAACTACAGCGGATAGAACCGGAGACCTAGAAGGTCTGAGAAATTTTCCCCGCTTTCGTTACCGCTGAGCTGCGGTTTCTCCGGTGGGTTACTTTTTTAGTACACGACGCTCAGATACAAATTGTAAAGGCGATGAACCAAAAGTCGCCAAGCACTAGTACAACTTGCCTGGTGGAGTTAGCATTTTTCGGTAAAGTTATCTTGTGACTGAGAATGTGAATGAACTGAGAATCTGATAATAAGTGCGTGTAATCATGATCCATGCCTGTTCCGAACGCATTCATCAAGGTCATTGCTCACGAATTGTGAATCATTAAAAAGAACTGATTCACTTCAGAGAGCGAACGGTTCCAGTCTGATCCCTTAAAAGTAGTGATTTTGCTCATCTCTACACAGAAAACGCTGCAATTCTCACCACCATACTACCTGACCACTTTTAAAAACAAAATGGTGCTAGATTGGCATAGCACAATGTTTACTAACGCGCAGATTTCCTAAACATGTCTCTGCGCAACTAGTGGGTCTTTTTACAGTTTTAATATGTATGAGTTCGAAGTCGAAGGTGTAGACAGTTCAACGTCTGTTTTTAGATGCCGACTTTCCTAATAGCCAATCAAATTATAGCATATTTTGCTTTTGGGTTGCACAAGAGTCAAATTATTTAACGCCACGTTTTTGTGTGTCAACGAAGTGATGCGGGAGAAAATCTGTCAGACTGGTGATTTATAGATGCCGGTATTTTTAGTTTGGCATATGAAACTCAGCTGGTGAACGTTCATATCAAAGTTCACATATTTTCGTTTAAATTTGATACGAGAATCTATTAATTATTAAAAATCCGAATGTGAATCTATCAGAAAGTAGATTTGTATGTGATAGAATTTCTTTTCGAAGATTCGTTTTGTTTATCTCTTTGGCTGAGAATATTAATGCATAATTTTTACTGTAATATTTAAGCAAAAGATTTGTAATAATAGACATCGAAATGGTCTTGGAAAGTGTACTTGCTGTATTTATTGGACTTGTTCAGATATCTCTGCAATCAGAGTTAAAGTGCCTAGGTAATGTAAATGAACTGGCAATTTCCTGTGACTATTCCTACTCTTTAATATATTTAAAAAACTAAAGTGATTATTAGAGTAGTTTGCAGTTATTAAAATGTTATGTATAACATTTCATTTGAGCTTAATGAGACACATATTTTTGGTAAAATTATGTGGTCTATATTTATGTGTATCTGTTCATGCATTGCTTTTTTTTTAAATTTTAAGTTTATTTTTAAGATTTGATTGTCTAATTTGAGCTGATAAAACTAATATTTAACGCTGTCGCTTAATATTTAATGCTACTCTTTAAACTAATAAAGCATTTTACCATTTTTATATCCATTTCATATTTTTAATTTAGAAGTCATACAACAAAAATCAGCATTATATTTGCAAAGTTTCACAGCTTAAAAAAAAAAAACTTTTAATTAATACTTGTTTGGCGTGCTATTTTACTTTAATCAATTTCATGTGTTTCTATTCCATGCATATCATTCTTTTGCATTGTCTTGATATCGGTTACATGTGTTCGTAATTTTGATATTTATTCCATGCGTTTCAAATTATTGATCTTATAAAATTATCTCACTTTTAAAAATTTATCTAATTTTTAGACAATTTGTGTGCAATATTATTTTAGACAATATTATTTAGACAATATTATTCTATGGAAGTTGCTCTGCACATCTTTGTGTTTAACTTTATGGATTTGTGATTGCTTTTGCAATTTTAAAAATGTAAATGCATATTCGATTTTAAAAAACGAGGCTGTATTTATAACTTTATAAATTTTATGTTTGTTTATATTTATCTTTGATTTTTTTATAGTATGTAAACATGTTGTAAGTGAAATAACTTCTGCTGTGAGGAAAGAAGATCCTGCTAAGACAATTCAAGTGGGTAGCTTTAGAATTCAGCCTGATGGTTCACAAAAGCAATCTCAGGTATTTCATATATTTTTACCTGATACATTTTTGCAAGTATACTTATACTATAATTTGTGTAAATTTTTAAAGAGTATATTTTATGTTATGCAGGGGCGTAGCTAGGGTTTCCAGCGCCCGGGGACAATTGAAGAATTTGCGCCCCTTTCTGTGTGCCAAGAATGGAAAACATTTCATTAGAAAATTTCGTAGCATCAATTTGGCGCCTCTTGGATGCTGCGCCGGGGGACAGATGTCCCCCCTTGCCCCACCCTAGCTATGCCACTGATGTTATGCACACTTTGGCTGATCTTTGGAATACGGTAACAGGTAGTTTGGCGACATTTTGGAGGCGATAAAGGTTACTACCAGGACTTTGGGAATAATGTGAGAGTACTCGTTCCGATCGCATTATTGTGTGAGGAAATGAGAGATCAGAGATATGTCATGTGACATTAATGGAGATCACTGTTCTTTAATCGGAAAAAGGGGTAATTTGTAAAAAAGCTGCTGTATTTATAGCATTAGTTCATTTTATGTTCTGTGAAACAGTGTTTTTTAATATGGATCTCATGGCCCTATATAAAGTAATCCGAAATTTTTATTGCGTTTATGTGTAAATGAAAGAATTGCTATTGCGGATAAGTATGATTCCAACATGTAGGAATGAAATGAGATTGTATGAAAGAAAGGATATTACAGATAAGTTTTGATGGCGGTGCAAGAAATCTGTTGAAAATGGACATTTTGTGATCCGCCATGCACTCAGGATTCTGTAGAAATTAGGTAAGTTAGTATTTTTAATTATTTGAGGATATTATTTATGCATTGTTCTAAATGTAAGGAGTAAATAAATAATATGGTCTTATTGGAAAATTGTTATTAGCAATGATTTAGTTTAAGTAATTAGGTAAGCTATTTTTTATTAATGTCTTGTTAGATTTTAGTAGTCTTTTTATTATTATATTTTAATTAATGATCGTGATTTTGGAATGTTTGAGTAGAAGTAAATGTGCATGGAAAAATTTATTTTGACACTAAATATTTGTAAATCATTTTTTATAATTCGTGTGACGTTTATAATAGATATTTAGAGGCACAAGTTTTTGATATTTTATTTATTTTATATGTGAAATGTCATATTTGGAAAGGGTAAATACTTTTTCGCGATCAGGTAATTTCATATATGTCCTTTTTACCGGGTTTTAAAGATTGAGAAAATTGTCATGGTATTTTCGTGAAATTTTTCTAATTTATGAGAAAAAAGCAGTGTACATGGATATAGTGAAGAGTGTGCGCAATGCCATTTTGTGCAATTCTGGGATGTTTTTTTAAGTAAAAATAAGTCGACGTGTACATGGTTTAATGATATTTTAATTAAATGATAGTTAGTTTTGTGAATTTATGTTTGTAGCAATTTGGTATACGTTTGAGTTGAAGTAAACATGCATGGAAATAATTTAAAATATTTGACACTAAGTATTTGTAACCATTTTTAATGTTTGGTATGAATTCGTTGGTGACGTTATAATGTAATTTAGAGGTGTAAAAGTTTTTGGATATTTTTATTTATATTTATACGTGGAAATGTTCATATTTGGAAAGGGTAAATACTTTTTCGCGATCAGGTAATTTCATATATGTTCCTTTTACCGGGTTTAAAGATTCACAAAATTGTCATGTATTTTCGTGAAATTTTTCTAATTTATGAGAAAAAAGCAGTGTACATGGATATAGTGAAGAGTGTGCGCAATGCCATTTTGTGCAATTCTGGGATGTTTTTTTAAGTAAAAAAATCGGCGTTGTACATGGTTACTGGGTATGTGCGATTTTGAAAAAATGCGTAAGGAGTTTGCGATTCTGCACTTTTTCCCAATTTTGCAGTTAATATTTGTCATGATTAAGCAGTTTTGGGTTGATCTTTGGATTATGGTAACTTGGCGAAAATTTGGCGACCAACTCTGCTACAGCAACCGCCTATTTTTTTTTCGCTGCCATTTTGTCTTCACGAAGTAAAGACGTTTTGTTTCTTTTCTTTTTATTTACTCAACACTTTTTCCAACAATCTGCTAGCCGAATTACACTTCGTTCCATAAAAGTTCTAGCATAAGCGTAATTCGGCTAGCAGATTGTTGGAAAAAATGTTGAGTTAAAAAAAAAAAAATGGCTTTACTTCGTGAATACAAAATGGCGTCCAAACAAAAACTAGCAGGTTGCTGTAGCAGGGTTGGTCGCCAAATTTTCGCCAAAAAATCGCCAAGTTACCATAATCCAAAGATTAACCGATTTTGGTATTATGCAGGGCTTGATTTCTAAAATTAGAAGTGCTAGAGTCCTATTGATGGCCGTGAAGAAATTACTTATTTTCTTCAAGTTAAATAACTATAAATTAAAGTATTTAAATTAAACTTCAATAAAATAGAAATTAAAATTTATTAAATTAATGATAAATAGTTAAATAATAAAATAAAATATTGGAACTTGCCTTATTAAGGGCTGCGGCAGAAGTTAGTTTCACTCAAAAACTGATAAATAGTCCATATAGCCTCTGGCAGTGCTTCAGCCTGGAATACACTGCATAAGGCACTATGAAAGGATGATAGAAACAGGTAATGTGACATATAGGTAGATGGTAGAAAAGACATTTCTTTTTCCAATATACCAATGAAAAAATTTAAAATCGTTGAACTAATGAAACTACACTAATGAAAATAAAGAGAATACTAGAAACACTATGGAAATTTTAATGGAGAATTGTAGCATCAAAAACAAGAGTTGAACACTGACTGACCATAATCTCCTGACAATATAATTGTAGCTGTCAAGCAGAATATGACAAGGAATAAACTTGCCCTGAATCTGACCCTATAACAGCATAAGAAACGTAAGGATCTATACCAGGGTTTCTTAAACGTTTTTCAGTCGTGACCCCCCTTTTATGACTGAGATTTTTTCATGACCCCCCAGGACCCCACAATAATTTTAAAAAAATTTGTGGCATCCCATAAGTATTGTGCAAATCCGACACATGCGTGAGTGGAACTGTTAATTTTTTCACTTGTACTGTAATATACTATTGCAGATTTAGATCATTAACTTGAATTTCTAATGTTAAGACTAGAACAGTGTGGAAATTTTAAATAAGTAATGGACGAAATGACAGTGTCACGAGCAAAGCAAGGAAAATGAATGTTTATGTTATAAAAAGAATGCGTCAAAACACTTTCATTTTTTTCTTTGTCTGTATTGTCTTATCTTTATCTGTTTTCAGATACATTGTGTGAAAATATTTGGTAATTGTAAAATTATTGTAATAAGTTAAAAAAATATCAAAACTGCTAAAATTTTTGGCGACCCTCTGCTGCAGGTCGGGACCCACAGTTTAAGAAACCCTGTTCTATACAAATGATAATATTCTTCTCCCATATTTAATTACATCATTTCAAAAAGCCTGTCTTTCCTGAGTTACTAGCCTTGTACATGCACGACCAGGGTGAACATGTTTAGTACTTTCGAGGATGGAAACTTACCTGTTCTTATAAATAACAGGACATGTAAGTGGCCTTAGACATGTAAATGGAGAGCTTTTCTCTCTGTCAAAGGGTTTATTTCTCAGGAAAAGATAGGCATGCATATAGAAGTTATAATTAATTTTTAAGGCTTATTTGTTATTAAATTAAAATCTTTCTGCTGAAATTGTAGTTCATTTACATAAATGAAGCAGCGGAGCCCTGCTCTGGCTTGAATTACGACTTACTTCAAAAACTGAAAAGTATTGGAGCCCGGCTGTGTTGGTCTCCGGAGCAATTTAAGATCTGATATTATGTAAGTTGTATGATTATGATCATCGCTGTGTAATGATTTGATTGGTGATACTTTAGTAATAAAAGTATAAACTTTAGAAAGTTATAAGCATCTAAATATTTCTGATGCTTTTATTTCTTCCAAATTAATGTATTAACCTTTTAGCTAATTTTGTAGAAATGAATATAACTGTATCTGTTTCTGCAACAAAAGTGAATATATATTTCAACACTTTTTAAAATCTTATTTAATTTTTTAATCCCACTGAATATGCCTTTTAATATTTTTTTTAAGAGAGTGTGACTGTTTTGATAAATCTCAACAAAATTTGATTTACTTAATCTGCTCTTATCCTTTACAAAAGACATATATTTTAACATAACATTTAAAACAAAACACAGTGAATCTTCTAACTTCAGAAAGCGACTAGTATTTGTGAGAACATGAACATCAGTGTTGGTAACTATATTATTCTTTAAGAAGACCAATTCTTAACTCATGTGAAGCTCTTAAATGTATATCAAAGCAGCCAGCAAAATGTGTAATTATGCTATCAAAGTAAAATATTTTGTGTACTAGATAAATCAAAGAATTGTATTCCAGTTCTTACTATAACAGGGAAATATTTTTTAGCAAACAGTAGTTGGTCATTTCTGAGCCATTAATTACATTCTTTTTCAATGTGGTGTAATCTGTCATCTAAGCTTGATTCTTTTGAAATGATTCAACACAGTCTTGAAATGTTTATAGAAAATTATTTTACTTTCCTACTTGAATAGCTGGTAATGTATTGCAAATCAGTGCTAATATCACATCAAAGATGATTTATTTTTGTTTTTTTTTTACATTATCACGATCATTCATATTTATATGTAACTTGACAATATCTATGCACGTTGAAGACAACATGAAAGAAAGTCATTTTTAAAATGCTTTCAAATTGCTCTGCTTCTTTAAAAGCAAAGGGAGAAATTCTGCTGGAAGTAGAATGTTAAAAAAATTACAGCTGTTTTTTATAAAACAAGCTCTGAATTTAATAAACAATATGATAATCTGGGACAAATTTATGTACTTTATTTTGTGAAATTCAAAAATAATTCACTAAGTGTTTTTTGGCTTGATCCATAACATGTGTTTTCCATATTTTGAGAACATTATTTGCTTACATTGTCCACCGATGGCTGAGTACATAAAACTGCTGAGTTCAACCCAAGTTC